TAAATATTACAATTAAGCAATTTTTTTTCTATTTTCCCTGGTAAAATGTTATAATCAAGAATTTTTTTTTCTGACCATTACAAAGTTTTTATTTCTAACTAAATTCTTTTTTTAAAAAATTTCAGATTAATATGAGGATATAAATGTTTAGGTTACACTATTTTCATTTCTAAGGTAAAGTTCAAGTTGTAGTTGAGCTCTTCACCCCGTGGGTGTGCTGAACACCCTTACATTGTGCACATTTGGTGACAACCTGCCAGTGACCCTTCTTCACTTTTCAGAGTTTTATCTGATAGAACATTAGTTGGAATATTAAAACTGTCCTAATTAAAAGCATGTTCTTGGTACTATATTTTAACATTTAAACATAATTTTATCCTATTTTGATTCAACTATATGCATAATACCAAGTAGAGTAATTTTGTGGTGATAAGCCAAGAATATCACTACTAATTTTGTAAATGTAAACATTCTATAAAAAACTAATCAGTTTTATTGGATTTGTTTTTAAAGGTATTAATTAATCTTCGCAACCCAAATTATGAAAATGGTGATTCTCTTAGTTTCAGGACTCATTTGGGTTTAATCCAAGTTCCTCTGAAAGTAAAAGACATCCCTGAATTGGTAAGTATAGACATTTTAAAATAAATTAACATATTTTAGAAGATAATATTTAGGAAAATATTTTAGTATAGCATGTGTCTGATGAAATAGGGTAATCTACTAACTGTGTAAATTAATAATGTGACAATTCTTTCATATTGTAAGTATGTATATAGAGAGAGCAAGTTGCTTTCCATAAAAGTAATGTGAATAATGTAAAGTTTTTAATATATTTAAAAAATAGCAAACATGATTATTTTCCCTAGACATGACTAGATAAGGAAAGGAAGTCTGGAGAATAAATCCAATTTATTCCTATTTTAGCACAGCATTTGATAGCCCAAGTTTACTTAAAAATTAATTTATTAATAAATTATTTTGGATATCTGCAGTGTTTAGTTGAC